TGAGGCCAGTAGATTCTGACTGCAGGGGACAATGAGGGCTGAGCAGAGACACTCCATGGGGGTCTGGGACTGCAGGTCTGTCTTGGAGCACACAGCCTCCTTGTTCTCCTAAGCAGCGACTGGTGGGCTCCAACCACCGACCCTGCGATTCACTTCCCAGCACTTAGGGCCCCTGGGGATAGCGGGAAGGAGATTGGGAGCCCTCGGCAGGGAGGGCATGTGAGGGGACATGCTTGGGCTCAGCTTATCTGCCTTCGTCCCTCAGTGCTTGATGGTGAGAGAAGAGGGCAGAGACTCTTGATGGGCTAGGGAGGCAGCCCCGCTCTCCCCGAAGCAGGTTTCTGTGTCCAAGTGAGCCTGAGGGCGGTGCCCTGACCGCTCTCCCCACTTCTTCCCTCTGTGCGGGCACCCCTGGGTGCTCCGATGACCACGCAAGCCATCTCCTTCGGAGGGCAGCCCAAGAAACGGCACTCCATAGTGGTGTCCGCTACATGAGAGTCTTCAGCGCTGTTCCCTTTGGAACCTCACTTCCGCCCCATGGCCACCCCATTATTCTAAGAACCGGAAATAGAAATAAATAAATAGCCAAAGCTTGCCAAGCGGCATTTCAGGGTCCAGCTGGGTCCTTGGGCATCCTTTGTAGTGGATGCAGTTGCCGTGGTAACAGCTCTCTGCAAGGCGGCAGAATCACTGGCATGATGGATGGGCCGATAAGGGCTGTGGCGGCCCGGGAGCTTGGCTGCTTGAAACCATCAGCCTCTCCTCAGGAGAAAGAGGAGGCTTTCAACTCCTGTAAGAGGGACAGTCTCGGGACCGCAGGGGCAGGCCTGCCTTGTGCGGCAGGGGCGCTGTGAGCCAGCACGGACTCCATGCCAGTGAGCTGGGTTTGGTTTGGGTGAGCTGCTTTGGGAGATGGGCTTCCTTAGGGGTGTTTTCGACTAATCTATTGCATGGGCAATCAAAAACAGAGAGAGAGAGAGAGAGACCTGCTAGGGGTGGCCTGGAAGGGGCTGGGGGTCTTCTGGGATGTACAGGCTGCAGTGAGAGAGAGGGGAGCCGGGGAGGGAAGTGGGAGGAGCCTGAGGGGAGAGGCAAGCCTGGGGTGGAGTGTGTGTCAGGAGTTGCAGCTGGGTCTGGGGACCCTGGAGGCGTGGCTTGGGCTGGGGCTGGTGGGCGAGGCACAGGGCGGGGCTGGTGCTCACCTGTAGCAGTGACGCCCTGGGGGACCTGGGGCTTGTGTGATCTGATCTCCCAGTTTCCCAAGAGAACTTGGCGACCTGTGTCTGAGACTCCTGAATCTGAGAGTTGACGGTCCATTTGCCTCCCTGAAAACATGGGGCCGCGCCAAACCAGTGCCCACCGTGGGCTGCCAGCTGCTGCTCTCTCTCTACAGTGGCCAGAACCGTTCAGACTCTGGGCACCTTGTCCAGACAGCTCTGATCTTGAAGATGGATAGGGGGAGGGATGGGGAGGTGCTAAGTGGGAGAGACCATTTTCAACAGTGTTGGCAGACATTGGGGTTTGCTGGGGTCAGTGTGCTTGTGAGGGGCCTACTTCACAGTGAAAGGTCCCTGGTCATTAGGAATTCTCTCCAGCCTGAGCATGGGGTCTTAGACTGAGCCCCGTTAGGGCCGGCAGGAGCGGGTGGCTGTGGCAGCCCTGAGCCCAGCCTACGCTCCAGCTCCACTGTCCAGCCATCTGCTGTGATGACGGGGTGGGGTGGGGTGGGGTGGGGAGCTTGAAGGGACTGGCTTCCTGCCTGCTCGGAAGCCTGCCATCTGCCAAGACTCAAGCCAGTCTCCCCGGCCTGCCATCTGCCGAGGCTCTGTACAGGGAGGTCTGGTGTGTGGCACCCAGGAAGCCCGGGGACCCAGCTGCCTTCTCAGACATCCTGTGTGCAGTCACAGGCATGGGGCTGGAATTGGGGCCGGGGCTCTTACTGCATGTGTGTTCTCCCTTCTGGGGGCCGAGCGGTTTTGAGTGGCCCTGTGGACTTGCCTTGATCTCACGCTCTGCAGATACTGAGATTTGTTTTTTTTCAAACGCGTGGAAGGCTAGTAGCAGCCCTGCATCCAGCAAGTCATGGGGTGCCGTGTTTGCCAGGGTGTGCGCTCACTCTCCCTCCCTCCCTCCGGGTGCTACACTCCAGTGCCTGCACCACCTTCCTATGCCCCCGGGGGACCCACATTCCTGCCACTCCATGTATGGTCTGGGCTCTGCCTGTGTTCTCCCTGTGGGCACCCCTGAGACAGAGGGACCCAAGAAGACAACTGTTGTCTTTTTCCAGCAGAGACGAAATTGTATTCTGGGACCTTGACCTTCGTGAGAGCTTGGCAGGGCTGGCCCCTTCTCATGTTTCAAGTTCCAGCTCAGTGCCACTAGTCCCCTCCCTATGACCTCTCTCCCTCCCTCCCGCCTGTCTCTGTCACCACTGCCCTGATGACCTTGCTGAGTTTCCTCCCCGCAGTGTGAGCTTTCTCCTGGCAGTCTCTGGATCGGATAGAGCGGGCCATCTTATCCTGGGGCCATTTCCCCACCTCTTCGCCGACCTTGGATCTCATCTGTCTTTGGCATTTCTGCCAATCTGTCTTGGTCATCAGGTGCTGCTAGGTTGGCTCTGACCTATTGTGACCCTAGATAGCCCCCCTGCTCCTGTGCCACCCTCACAACCCGCCCTGCGTTCCAGCCCTGTGCTGCTGCCTCCTAGTGGGCCAGGGATAACACCGGGTGAATGTGCTCTTCTTCGGTTCTGTGCTAAGTTGAACATCTTGTCTAATGTTCAGAGGCCACTGGCATTTCTTTCTAATTATTATTATTATTTTAATTTGTTTTTGGTGAGCGTATACCCAGAAAAACCTGCTCCCGCTCCCCTGTTCCTGGGCATGCCGGTCAGTGACATTTGTGACCGACGTGCTGCCTTGGTCAACGTTTGTGGTATTTCTCTTCTAGTTTTGTCTTCTTGTTTACTTCATCTCTCTGCCCCTCCACCTTCTCATCTAGGCTTGAAACTAGGGGCTGAATTTTTGGTTATGTGTATGTTTGCATGTGTAGATGTGTATTTCTTTTAAGAGGTATAGTACTTAGGGACAAAAAATCTGGTCTTTGGGCTAAACGCAAAACAATTCACTGCCATTGAGCCCATTCTGACTCATAATGACCTTGCAAGACAAGGTAGAATTGCCCTGTCCGTGTGGGTTACCGAGACTGTTTATGGGAATAGAAAGCCTCGTCTTTGTCCTGCGGAGCTGGCCCGTGGTTTCAAACTGCTGGCTTTGTGGGTAGCAGCTTGACTGTGTAACCACTGTACCACCGGGGCTCCTGGCCTTAATTTAAAGATGATTTCAGGGCCTACTTGCCATTTGAGGAGGTGTGAGGAGCAGCTCAAGTGCCTTGGTCTTGGGGTGTCCCCTAGCCTCAGTAGGGCCAGTAAGTGGGATTCTTTGAGAACTTTCGTTCTGTTGCACATTTTCACATTTTTCTGCCTTTGTACCAGGCGTCATCTAATGTGTTCCTGATCCGAACACTGGGCAGTGCTGGTCACTGGCCACTATATCCGTTCTTCCGGTCTCGGGGGAAGGAGGCAGTGCTCACGTAGACAGTTTGCCCTGGGGCCCCTTGTCCAGTTCCTTCTCGGATGGTTGGATTTCCTTTTTTATTTTTGTTTTGATTTCCAAATGAATGAGAAACAGTAATTGCAGCTTATCATTTGTATTTCTACTATAAACGGGTTACTTCCAGAGGGATAAAAGTCTTCCTGCATTGGGCCCTGGGTGGGTAGAGGGTAGTTCTCAGGAAAGGAGAATGTTGCCTGGACAGACATGCCCTGAGAGGGGGTTGTCACAGTGTCTCGAAGAATTTGGACTCAGTGGGGAAAAAAATGTTCCAAAAAGAGTAGTGTTTCCATAATAACGTATCAATGTAGGGATATTCTAGGCACCTGTGAGAGTCTCTTAAGGCCGGCGGCACAGTGGGATAAAGACCCCTACCCCAGTGTTTGCTCCCACCGTTAGAGGCTGCTGGGCCCCATAGAAGAGTTTCTGGGTGGCATCGAAGGAAGTGCTTGGCTACTAACATAAAGGTTGGCAGTTCAAATCCACACAGAGGTGCCTCAGAAGAAAAGCCTGGGGATGTGCTGCCGCCAGATTGCAGCCCCTGACACCCACCATGGTGTAACTCTGCTCTGAGGCACTCAGGGCTGCCCGAGGCTGGAGTCCCCTGGAGGGTGCTGCACGCCTTGGGGCCATGTGAGGGGATACCCCAAAAAAGACCCGGAAAAAGGCTCCACTGATACGAGAGGGATAGTGCATTCAGAGTTCGTTCCACCAGTTGAGATTGTTCACCAAGCTTTCTATGTAGAGGTTCTGAAAAGATTGCGTAACAGTGTGTGACAAAGGCCCGATTGGTGGCAGATGGGACTGGTTTTGCCATCACAGCAACGTACCTGCTCACATGGCCATACCAGTGCACCAGTTTTTGGCAAAAAACCCAGCATGCCTCTCTTGCCCCACACAACGTGCTCACCCTCTTTCTGTTTTCGTGGATTGAGAGGGACATGAAAGGACAGCGATTTGACGATGTAGTAGAAAAGGTGACGATAAAGACGAGGGCGGTGCTGTCAGCCCTCCAAACAGATGAGATTGGAAAGTGTTTCCAAGAATGGAACTGTGGATTTGGCAAACGCATTGTGTCGTGGAGAGTGCTTTGAAGGTGATAGGGTTGTTTTGTAAAAAAAAAATTAAATACGTAGTTTTAGGGAGGAAAAAATTCCGGTTCTTTTTGGGAACCTCCCGGTACACGTGTTTTGTTCCGTTTTCATGGGTTTTAATTTAAATGGACTCGTGTAGTGGCTATCAATCACGCTGGCCCGTGTAGCTACAGGTCATTGGGTGGCCCCTGGCTGGTGTCTGCCCTCCTCATGGGGTGGTTGGTGGGTTCAAAGAGACCCTCTCAAGCAGGCAGGCAGCTCCGTTGGTAAGAAGATTGCAGGCCCCCCCCCTGTACTCATGGCCCCAGGGACTCCTTTTGTCTCAATGCAGGTACCGTGGTCGGCGTGGTCCTTTACACGGGCAGAGAGCTCCGGAGTGTCATGAACACCTCCAACCCCCGAAGTAAGGTATGTGAGAGGGTTAGGGCTGGCCCACCAGGTGGATGTCACCATGACAGGTGGGGTGGGGTTGGGGGCAGTGAGGGACTGCATTTAAAGACAGATACACCCAACAGAGCGATTTCATCTATAAATACGGATCACCGTGTATGTAATGAGGCAGCTTCCGGAAGTTTATGGAGACATGGAATGAAAGCACAGTGGTGGCCTTTACCCTACCCAACCATCCACTGTTTTGAAGCCCCGGCCACCCATGAAACACAGAAAGGGGTTAAAGGTTTTAAATCTAAAAAGCACCACCGATCGCCCCTTGTGGCCAGTTGGGGTACTGCACCGGTGAGTCATCTAACAACTCTTGACAAACCTTTATGCTGGGGCACCCCCTTGTCCTCAGAAAGTGGCCGGAGGACCCCACACTCTGTCCAGGCTACGTGGCAAGGAGGGGGCAGGCCTGGGGTCCACAGCCAAGCTGAGACACCAGCCGTCAGTTGGCAGAAGGTGTCAGACCTGTGGCCTGTCCACAGACCAGCCCTACCTCTTTCACAGCATGACCCTGGCAGACCCTGACCCTCTCGCACTGTGTAGGGGTCAGAATATTGTAAATGACCAAAGCCACGTTTCCCTCAAATTCAGCCCATTGTCACTCCTTTAGACCCCTGGCAGGTCCCTGGTGGCGCTGTGCGTTATAGCGTGGGCTGCTCACCACAGGCCAGCAGTTGCAACCCAGCAGGCACTCCTTGGGAGAAAGACAAGCCCTCTGCTTCCATAAAGATCGGTAGGGTCACTGGGAGTTTATTTGTTGGTTTGTGACAGCCCTGCTGGGGCAGTGGCTGTGCTACAATAGGTACTTGCACACAGTAGCATTTCCTCGTGAAGAACGGCAGAAGCCTTGTGCCCCTCGGGATTTTGAAAACAGATTTGTCTGTGAGAATTTCTAGCAAGTGAAAATGCGGCACAGTAGGTGACATGTTGGGCCCCTGACCAGGAGGTCAGCGGTTTGGAACCACCAGCTGCTTCTCAGGAGAAAGACGAGGCTCTCTACCCCTGTCAGGAGGCAGAGCCTCAGGAAACGCACAGGGGCCGCTCTGCCTTGTCCCGTCAGCATTGGCTCCAGGGTAGTGGCTTATTACAGCCCCCGTTACAGTTACTGTGCCCTTGGATTGCCACTGGGGCCTCATTGTGGGCTTTCATTCGGCCACGCTTTGAGGGTGACGTGCTGGCTCCACACGAAAGCGCATTACTGAGCAGCACAGTCAGACTCGTTATTTCAGTAGCACCTAAAGCCCAGCCCCCTTCCACCTGCAAGTGTGCCGCAGACTTCCAGGAGGCACTCTCGGGATCAGTGTGTGGGATAGCGCTACAGTTCCCTGGTGATGGCAATGGCTAAGTGTGTTCAAGCCCACCCGGTGGCCCCAGGGAGAAAGATGTGACAGTCTGCTGTCGGGTTCTCTAGGTGGACGGTGGGGCGGGCCACACCCAGGGACCCACCCCCTCCCCCCTTTATCCCGGCCCCACAGATCGGCCTGTTTGACCTGGAGGTGAACTGCCTCACCAAGATCCTCTTTGGGGCTCTGGTGGTGGTGTCGCTGGTCATGGTTGCTCTGCAGCACTTCGCCGGCCGCTGGTACCTGCAGATCATCCGGTTCCTCCTGTTGTTTTCCAACATCATTCCCATCAGGTAAGCGGGGGACGGCAGGTAAGCCTGTGCTCAGGGGCTGGGGCTCTTCATGGGTGCTGGGCTTCTGGGACACTTTCTTCCCTTTCCTTGTCCAGAGACCAGGTTTTTTACTGGCTGTTGGAAGGAGCTGGCCTCTCTGCCGAGTGACCACCAGGGATGACCAGGGTCAGGGGGAACAGAGTATTGGTGGCATAAGGTTAAGGAACAGTGTCGATCGTGAAAGCCCTAGCTCTACAACCTGACTGAAAGCTCATGATCTGAACATTCACATGGAGCAGAGCCGGCCAGGGGCAGGACCGACGACGACCCTGCTGGGCTCGGAGAGGATGACCGGTGGTTTTTGAAGAGCTCTCTTGTAGTTGCCAGAAAATGGCATTTTAAAAATGGACATGTTATTTATTGCAAATGCATTGGCGTAGGGGACCAGTAACACCACCAACAAACACAAAGAGAAAAGGGAGATAAAATGATTCCCCCTTAGTCTCTCCGGTGACGATGGCCCCTAGCTGGTAACACCGGGGAAATCTTTTCTGAACAATGCCCCTCAGAGGTATTGACCCTGGTTGTGCCTGTGGGGGTCACCTCTCTAGGGAGTGTTTCCAGATGAGGATAAGGCACAAATGACACTCGCTTCGTGTTTGCGCTGTTTGTACCATGAGACTGTAGGCATCTTGCGCACACCCTCCTAACCAGTGTGCTCTGGGCTTCCTGATAGCTTGCGTGTGAACCTGGATATGGGCAAGATCGTGTACAGCTGGGTGATCCGGAGGGATTCCAAAATCCCTGGGACCGTAGTTCGTTCCAGCACAATTCCCGAGCAGCTGGGGCGGATTTCCTACCTACTTACGGACAAGACAGGTGAGCCGTGTCCCGGGCCCGCACCGGGTTCAAGGATGTTCTTGGGAAGTTTATGTGGTTGGTGGCTCTCCAGAAAGGTGGTCCTTGGATCCCACCTAAGGGTGCCTCAGAAGGCAGGCCTGGTGGCCCATGTGCTAAATCTGGCCTTGGGAACTCGGAGTGCCGTTGTGCTATGCACCCCCAGGGTCACCGTGAGTTGGCATGGACTTGGCTGCAGCTACCACAGGTGAAGGGAAGCACATGCGTGTGAACATGTGGACCTAAAGCAGTGGTTCTCAATGCCTTCCTCATGCCGCCACCCTTTCATACAGTTCCTCATGTGGTGGTGACCCCCCAACCATAACATGATTTTCGTTGCTACTTCATCACTGTACTTTTGCTACTGTGATGAATCGGGCAACACCTGTGAGAGTCGTTCAACCTACAAAGGAGTGGTAGCTCAAAGGTTGAGAACTGCTGATCTAAAGGCTCTCTGGAGGCATGCTGCCACCACCACCTTCCCTCCTTCGCCTTTGATGTGTGTGTGTGTGGGGGGGGTGGGGGCAGGGGGAGCGGGTGCTTGGCTGATGATGGTGATGACTGTGACAACAGCAAGCTCAGGCAGTGCTAGTGCCGTGCACCGTTCTGAGGTGTTCAGATACATGCACCCAACCCTAGCCTATTCCTGCGAGTTAGGAGCGCGCTACTGTTACCCCTTTTTTCAGGTGAGGAATTGAGGCATGGCGTGGCCGAACAAAGCTTTGAACCCAGGCAGTCTGGCCTCAAGTCCCCACCTCACGAGCACACTCTGCGTCTACGACATTGCTCCAAATTGAACCAGCGTCTGTCTGTCCGCCAAGATGTGGGGTCAGCTGTTGTGGCTATTAAGAGTTGGACAGTGGAGAGGCTTCAAGCTTCATCTCTGCACTGATGGAGGAGCTGTGGGATGGAAGGGTGTCGATTCTGAAGCTCCTGTGTGCCCCCTCCCACCCCAGTCAGAGACAGTGTAGGCATCAGGCAAGAGAGGAACCAGGACCCTTCCGGTCAGCCACAGGGACCCCAGGATGGTATTTGGAGCATTTCGCCAATGCAATTCATTGACCCTAAACTTTGGTCCACAACGCTTCCTGCAGGAGTCAGGTTCCCGCAATATAGAACCTGATTGGTGTAGTGCGTGTCACGTACCCCCATCTCGGCCAATGGAACAAGCCAGGAACCATGATTGACAGCCTTCTCGACCACTCCAGAGAGTGGCTGCCTTGCTTGGTTTCCCTATGGAAACTTCAGGGGCCATTTTCAAAGCTGGAGAATGACTGCCCCAGTCTCTCCCAGCAGGTGCTGTACTTAAACCAGGGTGTGATGCATCTCGCTCTTCCCCCAAACAGCAGCCGCCCTTAATGCCAAGAATGTTGAGAGCCCGGGGCCGGGCCCAGCTACCTCACCTGTCTTTGTTTCAGGAACTCTCACCCAGAATGAGATGGTTTTCAAACGGCTCCACCTGGGCACCGTGGCCTATGGCCTTGACTCGATGGATGAAGTACAGAGCCACATATTCAGTATCTACACCCAGGTGAGGCTCGGAGCCCGCAGTTTGTTCATAACCTAGCCCCTTAAAAGGCGCCGTGTCAGGGGTCTTCAGTATTTAAGACAGTGGTGCAACCATCATCCATTTCACAACATCCTTATCCCCCTGCCCCCGTCCGCCCCCAATAAAGAGCAGCCCTGTCCCCCTTCATTTCTACCCAGCCCACCAGAGTTGGCAACCATGAATTCTTTGCATTTTGCAGTGGAAAAGGAACTGAGGAGGTTCCCCAACGCGCCCTCTCCCCACTTCCCCCCATCCCCCCATCAAACACATCTTCCTTGTTCTCAGGGTGATCAACCCTAAGGAGGTGCTAGTGACTATTGAGGAAAATCTCAGCGAGAGGGATTTCCTTGGCTGAGAACCTGCTGCGTATTTTATACTGCGGGGGTGGGGGTGGGGTGTGTGTGTGAGCTTGAGTGCTTGTTACTTCTTATCGACCTTTGTGGCGGGAGACCCATTGCTGAGGTGGTTGAATGCGGAAAACGAGCCCCACCAAAGGACAAGACAGAGTTAAAACAGATGTGTCTGTAGTCACAGCGGAACACCCCCCCCCAGCCACCACCATCGTTTGATAGCGTTGTTACATTCTAGGAGCCCCTTTGGTGCGGAGGTTAAAGTGCTTGGTTGCCAACCCAAAGGCTGGGGGTTCGAGTCCACCAGTGGCTCTGTAGGAGAAAGAAGTGGCAGTCTGTTTCCATGAAGGTGGCGATCTTGGAAATCCTATGGGACATCTCTACTCTGTCCTGTCGGGTCTCTGTGAATCAGAGTCTGCTCATTGGCAACAGGTTACTAATGGAAAGGCTGGCGGGTTAAAGTCGGAGCTGAGGCAGGCAGCGTGTATAAAGATGACAACCAAGAAAAGCCATGGGCCAGTGGGACTCTGTACCACAGACATGCCCCCAATGGGACCAGTTTGGTTTTTTGGTTCATTGTCATTAGTTGCCATTAAGGTGGCTCTAATACTTGGATCTTATGATTGGCTACACAATAGTGCCCAGCCCTGGGCCTGACCCCATGGGTTTGGCCTCATGGGCCTGGCTATTGTGTTAGGCCATCTGTGTTAGACTCGGTTGACTAGAGAAACAAATACAGAGACACTCGTATGTTTAAGAAAGAGCTTTATATCAAAAAGTAATTGTATATTAAGAAAACATCCCAGCCCAGTCCAGATCAAGTCCATGAGTTCGATACTGGTCCATAAATCCCTCTTCAGACTCACACAACACATGCAATGATGCAAAATGCAGGAAGATCACAGGACCGTGGGTGCAAAGTCTTGTGGATCCAATGGTGGTAGAAGCATCTCCAGGGCTCCCGTCAGGGTCTCAGCATGGCTCCACGTGGCTTGTCAAGAGGAAGGTGCAAGCAGGGGGAGAGAGAGATTCTTCCAGAATCCTCATGAGAAGGCCACGCCCACAAGGAGGCATCCTTAGGCTGTGACCCCATTGACATCTAGACTTCTCCCCTTCGCTTGTCAACTTGACAGAAATGACGTAACAACCACCCCCTCACATTGAGGATCTTCCTTGATTTTGCTGACTCTCGACCAACCCTGATGCCCTTTTCCCTAGTGGTTTGTCTCACGAGCCATAAAACCCACCCATTTGAGATACACAGTTTAATGATGGTTGGTGACGTGACAGAGTTGTGCACCTATCCCGTCAACACAGCCAGACCCACCACCATCATCTGCTCCCACTTGCCTCAGGACCCTGTCGGACAGAGCAGAGCTAACTGCCCAGGGTGGTCTCCAGCGTGGTCCATCCTCACAGAATCAGGTGACCACAGCTTATTCCATGGAATGGATGGTAGGTGGGAACCGCCGATCTTTCCATTGGCGGTCAAGCGCTTCACCATCACATCCCCAGGGCTCCTTTGTGAACTTCGTACAATCCAGTTTTGGAGTCTGTCCACCACCTTACAGAGTTTCAACGACTGCTTTCTTTAACATAGTCTTTGGGGCCCCTGGGGGCAGATTTGAAATCTCTGGGATCCGTACCCAGACCTTCCTTGTTCTGTTTTTTTATGTTTTGGGAGCTGGATCACACAGCAGTGTAGGTGCCGTCCAGCAATTTCTATACCAGTGGTTCAGTCATTCTTCATAGGCCCATTATTTCTATTCTGATTGTTCCGTTCTCTAAATCTAGTGTCCCTGTCCCCCTGAACTTCATGTCTTTGGCAGTCAGTGTTGATTGGTGGTCTCAGAGAGGGGATTTTTATTTTGTAACGGAACGCTGTACCAGTGGGTGACAAGTATTATTTGGTGAGACAGTCTGTTTTTTAGCCACAAGGTGACCTCAGAGGTTAGTTTGGGCTCAAGGTATGGTGATCCTCTCAGGTAGTCATCTGGGGAGGGCACGCAGGGGAGGGGCTCCTGTTTCAACCAGTTCGGTCGGTTTGGATTTTGGTTGTTGGTCTGTTTTTAAGGAGGACGGGGCTCTGCTCCACTTTCTCTCCCGTTCTCTCAGGGTCTGTCCCTCCCACGTTGGAGCACTTGTGCCCGGCTCTCTGACTTTTCGAGGTCCGTGGACCCCAGAGCCGAGCCCAAAGGTTGGCCCTGGAGTGCGAGAGGGATTAGCCTGGCTGTCACATTCCATTTCCTTTTCCAAATGGAAGTCTCACGGGTAATGAAGGCTTCCTGCCAGCCACCTGGGACCCCTAGGGAGGAGGTCGGACGAGTGCTGGACAAGTGGGGTCCAGGGCAGAGTCCAGTCTGGACGGAGGTTTTGTTTTTTTCCGAATGTTGAAGCATGTAGTGCAGTTTGTGAGTGTCCAGGGGAACGGGATTAGGGACGCTTTGAACTGATGAGCCCTGGTGGCCTGGTGGTATGTGCGGGGCTACTTACTGCAAGACCAGCGATTCAAAACCACCAGCTGCTCCTGGGCAGAAAGGTGAGGTTTTCTGCTTCTGTAAAGGGTGACAGAGGCAGTTCTGCTCTGTGCTGTGGGGTCCCTGTGAGGCCATGTCTACTTGACGGTGGTGAGTGAGCATCCCGCTAACCAGGACAGGTAGCTGTAAAAAGCTGCCCACAGGGAGATAATAGCTGCCCAAGGAAACAGCAAGGAGACGGCCGGCCTGTTAGGAGCTGAAATCAGGGTGGCTTGAGTTCCCCCCAACTTGTCTAAGTATTAATTCACCACCTTCGGGGTCCCCCTGGACAAAACGGGAATGCAATTCACACCCTGTGAGGTTCATCCTTTCAGAGCATGCAGCGCCGTGGACTCACAGTGGTTCGGCCGTCACCGGTGTCTGATTTCAGAATATTGTCACCCCCCTCAAAAGCAAACTCCCCCCTCCCCTGCCCCCAGCCATGCAAACCCCTCTCCCTGTCTTTGCCAGGTGCCGTTGACTCCCAGGGACCCTGTAGCCCCACCTAGTCAGAGCAGGATGTGCCTCAGAGTGCTTTCACTGGCTGTTTTCACAGCCCTTTCTTGTAACTCCGCCTCCACCTCTCCTCAGGGAATTTCCCGGCCTCAGATCATTCATTGAGCTTCAGTTTCTCATTTGCAGGCTGCTGGGCTGTGGATTAAGTATCGGGCTGCTGACCGAAGGTCAGCGGTTCAAGTCCACCAGCCACTCCTCAGGAGACGGGTGAGGCTGTCTGCTCTCATACAGGTTTATAGCGTTGGAAACCCTATCGAGCGTCGTTGTGAGCCGGAAGGGACTCGGTGGCCGTGGGGAGTTGGTTCTTCCATCAGGAGTTCAGGACGGGGTTCCGGAGCCTGGCTTTGTGGCCATGGTGGTGGGTCCCCCAGCACAGGCTCGAGTTTGGTGATCGGCATTCTCTGACCTCGTGGGAGCTGTTTGGCCCTTCTTCCACAAGCGAGCCAGGGGTTCCCCCCAGGCTGCAGGGCCTGTAACCTGCTTCTGTGGACATGCCACATCTGTTTTTGTTTTCCCTGGCATTTTCTAAGTAAGAAGAAATGTGTGTAGGTTAAAGGGCTGATTGGGAGGAGGCTGGAGATAAACATTGTACCAGGCGAAACTCTTCCATATGGGGAATGTGAAGGTGTTTGGGAACTGGCCCCATCTGGGCCTTGGCCAGGGCATTATAGATCCACGTGGATTAGCATTTGGTGTGAACTCAAGAGTTCCATTTAAAAATTAAAAGGGGAGCATTTCAGCATTGGTGGTTCGGACTGGCCTCCCCCCAACATGACTGGGCAACAACAGAGTGGAATAAACGAGTCCAAACAGCATACCAGTCGCCTGCTGTTGGCCAGCCTCTCCCCGCCCTCTCCTCTGCACCCGGTGGTTTTGTGGAAACCGGCTCCCGCTGTTCCTTTGTGGGTGCTGGTTGCCGTCCACGTGGTTCTGCCCTTTGCTGGCCCCACAGACAATGGATGGAACCTCATCCGGTCCTGTACCGTCGTCCTGGGGGTTGGCATGTTAGGACCCACTGGGGGCCGTTAGGACCCATGTTAGGACCCGAGGGACCTCCTCTGCCGGCCCAGTGTTGGATGAGGTCCTGTCAGGATCCAGGGGCCCTTCCACGGACTAGTTTTTGAGAGTAGATCACCAGGTCTTTCTTCTGAGTCTCCTTCCATCTGCAAGTGCCTCTGAAACCTGCCCTCCGGGGGCATCTGAGGCCTGTTGGCATCTGAAATAGGGGGGCAGTGCTTCCAGCCTCACAGCAGCATGCAAGCCACCCAGGACCAGAGACCGGCTGAGGGGCGGGCGGGGGGCACTTCACTCGGTTGCTCTGCTCTCTGGGGTTCTCTCACCTGGAACACAAAGACCCAGAGCGCTGGGCTTGCTGGGAATTATTTATTAGTAGCAGTATTGGACTTGTGTCCACGTGAGCTTAGCTTGCCTACAGAAGTTTCTCAGGGTGTCTTTAATTGGGCCTCTGGCAGTTCAGTCAAACTCAGCGTTCCTAAAGCTTGCCAAGCGGGGCAATTACTTTGTCCGTAGTCTGGTTCTTGGCCCTGATGGTGAGTAATAATTTGGTCCAGGTGCTGAGGGTTGGGGGTGAGGGAGAGCGGGCTGTGAAAGCAAAGACACACATCCTAAACTAGACCATACATCGCAGAACTTCACATCCACCCCCACCACCCCCATTTTCCCCGGGATTGAGTCTCCCCAGTAGAGCGGCCCCTCCCGTAAGCCTCCAGCCTTCTACTTCAGAGTTAAGAGTCTTCAGCAACGAAAAGCACTAGGCAAACGGCCGCTCAGCTAAACCGTCCTTCTGATTCATTACTCTAATTATGGTTGCCGTGCAGTGCCCTTTGACCTGGAAGTGAAACCCCCGTCCCCTTGACACCAAAGGTGAACCGAGCAGGAAGCCAGCGTGAGGCGCCTCCCTGCAGCAACCAGCTGTCATTTAGTAATTGCCTGAGTACCTGAGGCGTTGGGGCCACTACTAAAAATAGTCTCTGAGAGATGGAACCAAAGGCCTTTTCCTGTGCCTCGGCGTTACCCATCTGTTCTCGATTTTGGGCACCCTGAGTGCTTGGGCATAAGATGCAGCCCCTGCTCAGGGCCCCCGGCAGCGCTCCTGGGTTGGCCGGCCAGCAGCAGGGGCAGTAAGGTAATAGAGGGCAAGCAATCTGTGGATCAAAACCATGCCTTGAAAATCTGGAACTGATGTTGGGCGATTTGATAGCTATTTCTTCTTTGGGCACTGTCACCTAACTCAGAGCTTCAGAAAGGACTGGGTTGGTGACCGATTCTGCAGCTCTCGGCCCTGTGCCAGGCTCCTGGGAGCTGACCGGTGGTCTCAGAGCCGTCAGGAGAGCCAGCCCGGCTGGGCCGGTGAAGATGGTCCTGTGCTGCCTGCAGGTTTCGTAGTGCGGAGGAGAGGGGGGCACAGGAAAAGCCCCTGGAGGAGGGGACATTTAGATTGAGAGTGGACTCTGGACAGGGGAAAGGGCTGGGTCTCTGAGGCAGGACAGAGCAGGGCTGTCTCAGCAGGCAGGGAGGAGGCCCGTGTGGCCAAGGCAGGGCCAGGGAGGAGGCAGGTGGCTTGAGGGAGGGCCAGATAGGCAGGAGGGGGCCTAAACCAAAGAAGAGTAGCAAGGCGGCTTTCCCAGTAGTTTTTTACATTATTTCAAAGGAGGCCTGTGTGGGCCCCAATATGTAACATTGGCAAGAAGGGGGCTGCCAACTCCCAGCTGCCCGCCCCTCCACCCCTCACCTAGGGGTATTGCGTGGTTTACTGGAGGTCTCCAGGACACAATGTGGGGTACGGTTGGAAGCTGCCCCTGTTTCCCACTCCTCCTTGACCCCTGAGGACCGAGGCCCAGAGAGTAGCATAGGGGCAGGAGGCCACGCAGCTGTTTCACAGCCCACCCGAGAACAAAGCTGAGTCTCCCCAGTCCTCAGGGCCCCTTGTACCAGGGAGCTGGGGAGCATCTCCCCAAGTCCCCACCCAGCACCAAGCCCTCAGTCATGCGTGGACGGGTGTGTGTGGATGGACTGATGGACGGACGGAGGTGCCATCGTTTCTTCGGCAAGCGCCAGCCTCCGGAGCTTGTCTGGGCGGCAGAAGGTGGGCACAGTGGCGGTTGCCCCATTATCTCGAGCAGAGCCGTACCATTGCCCACCAGTTTCTCCGAGCTGGGTCTCCTCCCTCGCTGAACGCTGGCCGGTGAAGCAGCCGCTAGACCAGGGCCGCATGACATGGGTCGGAATCAAATGGTGCTCCACAGGGCTCCCAGGGGCTGCTCCGCAGACCCGACTGCCAGGCCTTTCTTCTGAGGCACCTTAGGGTGGACTCTAACCTCCAGCCTGCTGGCCAGCAGCCCAGCACTGCTCCGGGGCTCCCAGGGTCTCTGTCTTAAAGCAGGAAGAAAATACACTGGAAAGAGTGGTTTTCATCCAGGGACAGTTTTGTACCCCTGGGGACAGTAGGCTCTCCCTCCATGTCTCATTGGGTAGGGGATATTTGTTTGTTAGAATGTGTGTGTGTGTGTTGGGGTGGGGGGTGGGGGTTACTGGCATCCATTGATCAGAGGTCAGGGATGTTACCAAGCCGGTAACCCACTGCTGGTGAGTGGACCCAGCTCATAGTGACCCTGTAGGGCAGCGGAGAACTGTCATCGTCATGGAAGCTGACCACCACATCTTTTTCTCCGAAGGGCAGGTGGTGGGTTTGAACTGCCGGCTTTGGTTAGCAGCCAAGGACATCCCCCACCCTCTTAGCCCCAGGGCTCCTTGCTCCGAGAATTAGCTGGCTCCACAGCAGTCACCGAGGGTGAGACCCCTGCTCTGTCTGAAACACTGGGCCCGCTCCCCTCTGCTGGAGGCCCCGGCAGCCACAGGCACCGCCCCCCACGGCCCTTCATCTGTCACTTGCATGTGATTTGAGCATACATGATGGGAATGATTTGAGCATACGTGATGGGAATGCTGAAGTGAAATGCCATCTTTCTCAATGACGTCAGACATTTGCCCAAGAAGCTGGCTCCAAAGAGCCCTAGAAAGAAAGGCAGCTCGTCCACACGCTCACGTCTCCACGCACCCCGGACCTTTTCCGGCCTCCGCTCACCTTCCGTCTCCTGTCCCTTCCTCCAGCAGTCCCAGGACCCGCCTGCTCAGAAGGGCCCCGCTCTCACCACCAAGGTCCGGCGCAGCATGAGCAGCCGTGTGCACGAAGCCGTGAAGGCCATTGCCCTGTGCCACAACGTGACCCCTGTGTACGAGTCCAACGGCGTGACTGACCAGGCCGAGGCCGAGAAGCAGTACGAGGACTCCTGCCGTGTGTACCAGGCATCCAGCCCCGACGAGGTAAGTGCCCCGAGAGCTCCTGCCCGCGTGCCCGGGCAGACGGGGACCAGAGAGTGTTTTCTTCTGGTGTACAGAAGGCCATTGTGCCTGGGAACCCACTCAGGGCCCTACCAATAATGAGTCCCTCACTCCAGGTGTTGATGGACGAGTCCATGAGAGGATCCAGGTAGCACCACCGGCTATCCGGCCGTCTTCTCTGACAGGTGAAACTGCAACTGGGCTGTTTTCCTCTTTGTGTTTTTCTGAGAATTCCAAATACTCTACAGTGAGTCAAAACCACTTTCATAATCCAAACAGAAGTGTTTTTTGAGAGGGGCTGCAGGGGGCGCTAGAAGTTAATGACAAACTCTTCCCGGTGGAGGGGAAACGCGGGCCCAGATCAAGGCTTCCAACTGGTTCATTCTGGTTTGACTCCACTGAAATTCATGGAATCTCTTGGCGTCTACATTTTAACCCGATCCCCAGGTAACTCTGATGTTAAAACGTACTTTCTGATTCAGTGTATCTGGGGTGGAAGGGCAAACGTCAACCTGGAATGAACTGGTTCTTCAAAGCCTAGTCTGAAAGCCGGGGTGCCCTTTTTCATGTTGGTGACTGCACCCAGAGAGGGGGTGCCATCAGATGACATCCTCCCAGGGACACCAATCAAGGGCTCATCACAGGTAGCACTAGAAGGACCATGTACCCCTTGCACCTGAACAGGGACTCAAGTAAGTCTTTTTGGGTTTAGTGACAGAAGATGTATCTTAAAAGTATGTGGCTAGAATGACCAAAGGCCCCGCGGAGGAAACTTTTATTCTCTCTCAAAAGGTTGGTGATGCTGTTACTAAAGTGGAACAGGATATAGATTTACATTTGCCTGAGATATACGAATGGATTTTGAGTCCACACTTAACTGTAAGCCTAACCTAAGAAAACACTTCCATTTCTTAGACATAGAAAGCTTGTGTGTGCTTTAAAAATTAGCACTAGAAATGCTCAGTGATTCATTTCCTCCACCACTGCAGTGGGCCTTGGAAGCCCCTGGACAGTGTGTGTGTTGGGG